TGAGGCTTATGGTTTTTAGCAAACTAATATAAGTTTCAATATATATTTCTTAAATCTACGTTAATGGGAGGTTTAACCAGGAGTCAAATAAGTTTGAATTGGTTAAAGTCCTTAAGGCATTTTAGATGCTAAGGGGGAAGTTAAGCCTCGCACTGAGGATGACATTACTAAAACAAACACAAGTATGGTATATAGTGTTGCATGTAAGTTGGGTCAAGATACATTGATCCAAATAAGCAACGTTAATGCTTACGCATCATCCCAGCTAAAATGGCAGGGGAGGAAGTGTCATGTTCACTAATATAAAGATAGATGTAGTAGTATTTAAATTCAAGGGTTTGAGGAGGACTATGGGTGTCCGGGCACTAAAAAAAAGTAACAATAAAGCTATGCAGGGAGTTTTAAGACATGCCTTCCATGAAAGATAGAAAGTTAGAAACTATCGATTAGGCTTTAACAGATAGAAACTCCGGTGATGGAGTGGGATATGATGGAGTGGGTATTGTTGCTAAAAAAAAGTGTACCTAGAACGGTACATTAAGTTACCTCACTTCCAACCGATTATTAGGAAGTGTATATTGAAAGGTTGACAAATTTTGGGTGGATAGGAAAGTAATGATGCATAAAGTGTCATAATTAACAATCTCGGGTAGCGATCCAAGATTTACATCACGTGTTCATGCAAGTATTTTATAAGGGATATGGAAAATGTTGAACTTGGGCAAAGCATACCATCTTTGGACTCAGGGTCAAGGAGAGGAGAAATTTTAAAATTGTTGGATTGGTTGGAAGGTTAGATGTTTATACTTCAAGAAAGTAAGCATCATAAAATGTAAACAGTAGAGTTGGTTTACAACATCAATTAACATTTAAATGTCCAAGCTGAGTCATGGAGGCATTTGAATAGGACATGTGTGATGCTAGTATGTTTAACTATCATGAACATGGATAGATCTACAAACATCAGTTAAACTTTGCATGAGTACACAAGAGGTTGGATGTCGTACTTAATAAGAAGAGCTACACTAATAAGATATAAAGACCAGTTATCGGTTGGGTTGGGATGACCCTATAATGTCACCATGGAAAGGAATAGTGCATTTCAGTAAACATGGAAAGTTAAGTCCAAAATAAGTAGGACCATTCGAGAAAATATCAAAAGTAGAAGAGGTGGCATATTGTTTGAAGTTTCCCGAAGAATTACAGGAGATTTATTACACATT